ATGATCAATAGTATTTTATTATTTTCATAAACGATTATTCTTGTTATGGGTACTTATACTTAATACATGAGAAATCAGAATCTTTGGATGTATTTAAGATCTTCAAAGATGAAATTGAAAATCAACTTGGAAGAAGATTAAAGCTATAAAATCTGACTGTGGTGGTGAATACTGTGGTAGATATAATGGATCAGGTGAACAACGTCCATACCCTTTTACGAGATATTTAGCAAAATATAACATCGTTCCTCAATACACTATACCAGGGACTCTAAGTTAAAATGGTGTAGCTGAGAGATGAAACAAAATCTTAAAGGATATAGTTAAAAGTATGATTAGTTATTCCTCTTTACTAGAATCACTTTGGAGAGAAGCTTTAAAGACTGCAGTTTATATTCTTAATAGAGTTTCAAGCAAAGCAGTAACTAAAACCCCATATGAGTTATGAACTAGAAAGAAGCTTAGTATTAGGCATTTTAACATTTAGGGATGTTCAACTGAGGCTAGGCCTTATAAGCCTAATGAAAGAAAATTTGACTCAAGAACTGTTAGTTGCTATTTTGTTGGATACTCTAAAAGATAAAGAGATTTTAATTTTTTTGATTCCACAAATAAATCTTTTTTTGAGACAAGCAATGTTAAATTTATTGAGGATATTCAATATAGTGTGAGTGAAAAATTTAAAGATTTTGATTTTGAGGAGGAATATGTTACTATTTTTATTATTATAATTAAAAATGATCAAGTAACTATGCATGATAATATTTAGATTATAAATCCAGATAATCAAAATAATCTTGAATTATCTCTCACTCATATAGAAGAACAACAACATCATATTGAAGTGTCATTAAGGAGATCCACAAGAGAAATGAGAATAGTAATTTTAGATGATTATATTATATATCTCCAAGAGCATGAATTTGATATGGGATTGGAAGATAATTCAATCTCATTCATTCAGATAAAAAATTATTCTGATTCCCAAAAGTGGATAGAAGCCATAGAAGATGAGATTAAATCAATGAAAGACAATGATGTTTGGAATCTTTTTGAATTTCCTGAAGGAGCAAAACCTATTGGTTGTAAATGAATTTTTAAAACCAAAAGGGATGTAATAAGCAATATTGAAAGATATAAAGCACATCTAGTTACAAAAGGTTTTACTCAAAAGGAATATATTGATTGTAAAGAGATTTTCTCTCCAATTTTTTTGAAATACTCTTTTAGAATCATTATGGCACTTATAGCTCATTATGATTTATAGTTATACCAGATGGATGTAAAGAGTGCATTCCTTAATGGAGATGTTGAGGAAACTATATATATAATGCAATCAAAAAATTTTCAATCTTTTGATTCAAAACATCTTATGTGCAAATTAAAGAAATCTATCCATGGTTTAAGCATCACATCAATGGCACTAGAAATTTAATCAAGTGATTTCTTCATTTGATTTTATAAAAAACACTTTTGATCAATGCATTTATCATAAGGTCAGCGGGAGTAAATTTATTCTCCTAGTGTTATGTGTCGATGATATTCTGCTAGCAAACAATGATATAGGCTTATTCTATGAAACTAACAAATTTCTTTTAAATAAATTTGAAATAAAAGATCTTGAAATTACATCTTTTATGTTGTATATACAAATTCATCGAGATCGCTCCCATGGTATAATTGGGTTATTACAAATAACCTATATTGATAAAGTGCTTAGCAGATTTGGCATGAAAGACTGTGCACCAAGGCATACACACATTGCAAAAGGGGATAAATTTAGTTTGCTTTAATTCCCAAGAAATGAAAGTTGAAAAGCAAGAGATAGATAAATCCCTTATGCATCGGCAGTACAGAATCTTATGTATGCTCAAGTTTGTACCCTTTCAGATATTCCATACATTGTTGGAATGCTTAATAGATATTTAAGTAACCTAGGAATGGATCAATGGAATGTAGTGAAACGAGTTATAAGGTATATAAAAAGGACAAGAGATTTTGTAGTCACATATCAGTGATCTGATCATTTAGAGATCGTGGGGTATTCCGACTCTGATTTTGCTACTTGCCTCGATAGAAGGAGATTCACTTCATGCTATATTTTCATATTGGCTAGAGGAGCTATTTCTTAAAAAAGTGTCAAACAATCACTTATAGCTTCTTCAACAATGGAAGCAGAGTTTATATCTTGTTATGAGGCTTTAAATCAGGGAATATGGTTACGAAATTTTATCACAATGCTATATATTATTGATGGCATTGAGAGACCCTTAAAAATAAATTATGATAATAAAGTAGTTGTGTTATGTTCTAAGAAAAACAGGATCTTGTCAAAATCAAAATACATTGACATAAAGTTTTTTGTTGTGAAAGAAAGGGTTCAGAGTTCTTAGATTTCTATTGAATATATTAGTACAAACCTTATGATTCCAAACCCACTTACAAAAGGATTACCACCTAAAGTTTGTCATGAGCATGTGACTCGTATGGGTGTAATTTATTTTGATGATATGTTAGCTTTGTGGGAGTTTATTTGTATTGTTCAATTATTATGAACTTATTTTTTAATTAGAATAAAGTATTGTTATTTTAGTGATTGAAAACTCTGAAATAAAGTTATTTAATTTCAATTGCGATTTAGCATAAAGTATTAAATTTTGGTTATAATTCTTTTGAGTTATAAAATTGGATCAGTTGAAAATATTTATGATTTGATATCATATTACATGAAATGTTTATGCTACATATTCATACTTGATCTATGTAATTAATTATATTAATATAGTGACCATTGATGGATCTTGTTATGAAGAATGTAATAAAGGTCACTTTAATTCTATATTGATATGATTGATGGACTAGATTGTCTAGAAATGTTATTTTATAAAGATAGCAAATATTGAGCTCTTATGTTTATTTTATAATATATAATTATATGTATATATATGTAGCCCAAATGGGAGATTATTGGGAAATTTTTATATGTGGGCCCATATACTTATATATATAAATAAAAATTTTATACATTATAAGCTATCTAAAATTGAGCCAAATAAATTTGTGATCTATTTAAGAACTAAGTTATTATTTGGCTTATGTGGCATCTCAATTAAATTTATATGTAATTAATTTGTGTAGAGGTTGGGCATTTATTTTATTTTAATGATGGGCTGAAATAAAATATTTACACTTCAAGTATAAATGGGTTGTTGTCCCTAGTTTAAATGGTTAAAGTTCTCATTTCTCTCATTTCTTATCTTGAGTGAAAATAAAGGGTATCTCGCTCTCTTGGAGAACGTCGCTTCAAACATGGAAAATCGAAGACATCGATTCAGCATTTCAATGGATTCAAGTACGCTTTTGATAATTCTTCTCGATGATTTGGCTTATCTTTCCTAGGCAATGAATTTATTTTTCATCTCCATTGAATCTTACAAGTAGACCAAAGAGGACGAAGCCATCATAAATAGGCAAAGAAAAACTTGAAATAGTGGTTGGAGAACAGGGAAAGGCCAACAATGGGGAGAAGCCCAAGGAACCAAGGCAACTAGGGTAAACGAAAAAACCCTAGTAAAGCGAGCTCATTGGCAATTTTTCTTAAACATGTATAAGACGCTAATTAATTTGGCTCCTTCTACTCCTCAACCCCATTTTGACAAAATGTCTTGCATTTTCTACACGACCCGTGTTGTAAATTAGATTGCGCGCGAACACGTGCGAGATCGCATGTGATTACGTGGTCATGCCTTATTCCCTTTATTAGTGGTGGCAGACAAATCCATAATTGATCTCGCAAGTGACCTTGGACGTTACTGTGCGTGATTGCATCCACAAATGTAGATCGTGAAGAAATTGCAAGATTTTTCTTAAAATGGGGTTAATTAGCGGAACATGCCAAATTAATCAGCGTCTTATTCATATTTGAGAAAAAAATTGCCCAATTTATTGGTGCATTTCCCTTGAAATCCTAATTTGTGCAAAACGTGTCATACAAATCTTTTTTTTTTCTTTTTTGCACATTTTAAACTATACCTCTAACAAAGAAAAATTTATCTATTGCAAAACTTTATATATATATATATATATATATATATATATATATATATATATATATATATATGCTTTCTTGATTTTAGAAGTAATTGTGTCATTACAATCAATAATGCCACCAAGGATTCTGTCATTTCTTGCACGCCAGACATAGTAGATTGTAGCAGAGGCAGTTAGAAGGAAGAGGTTCCTCGTTTTAGAATTAAAATTCTGCTCCCAAATACTATCATAAAACTGGTAGATATTTGGTCTCATTAACAGTTTTTGTAACCAAGGGAATAACTTTTTGGCAATGTCAAAAGTGAAATTACATTCAAAGTAGAGATGAGTGATAGTTTCCATACTATTATGACAAAAACAGCAGGTATTTGGAACCAGAATACCTCTAATAGCAAGAACATCCGCTGTTTTTAATCCACCCTTAAATGCCAACCAGGCATAGACAGTAAAACGAAGAGCACCCCTTTTATGCCAAATATGCTTATGCCAAGACACCTTTTCTTTATGTGCAGAAAACATAGAATGGAAATCACCAAAACTAGGGTATTGCTTGTCATACCAGAAATGATTTTCAGGTTGGGAAACAATAGCCACATTCTTAATCAGAGTAACAAGGTCATTTTCGAAGCTGTTAGGAATAATCCAGCTATCCCCCAAAATAAACTGAGAAACAGTTTTGTCAAAGAGATGAGTAAAACTCGAAATAGAGTTTGCATTGATGAGATGATCAGCAACAGAATGGCCTCCACACCAGGGATCCCAAATGAAAGACAGATTGCTACTGGCATTTATGGAAAAACTAATACAGCTTTGAATCTCTTTTGCTTTAGCACACATAAAATCCCAATAAGGGGATTTTTTAATAGCTTTGAATCCTCACCACATGTTCATCAAATTTCTAACAGACCCCACTCCTACTCCCTCCTCTGTTACCCTATTTATCCAAAACGAACCCATCTGCCTTCTTCCTGGGCACTTCGCTACACTTTCCCCTTCCCCTTCACGCAACTGCCGGGCCCGCGCATGAAGTTTCATTGAGTAGAGAGAACGAAGAAGAAGACGAGGTGGAAGTGAAACGTCCGTCTGCTCACTAATTAGGGCATCGCGCTGCCTTCTTGGGCTTCCAACATGGGAACTTGCGGTCTCGACGGAGGAGTGGTAAACGGTGTCGCCTGGTCGGACGAAGAGCAGTCCATGGCGGTCGCCGTTCTAGGCCCCAACGCCTTCGAGTACCTCACGACCTGCCACGTGTCCCCTGACAGTCTCTTCTCCGCATCTGGCGCCGCCGTCGCTGACCTTCAGACGAAGCTCGTCAACCTCGTGGAAGCCTCTGGCGGCGACGGCTGGTCCTTCGCCATCTTCTGGCAAATTTCCCGGTTTAAATCCGGCGATCTGGTACTTGGATGGGGAGATGGGCATCTCCGTGAGCCAGAAATCGAGAGTCTTTGTTCCGTCGATGATGTGCAGCAGAAGAGGAGGAAGCGGGTGCTGCAGAAACTTCATTTACTCCACGGCGGATCCGACGATGAGAATTACGCTCTCCGACTCGATTGCGTTACTGATGCTGAGATGTTCTTTCTTGCTTCAATGTACTTCGCCTTTCCCAACGGAGAGGGTGCTCCTGGCCGAGCTTTACTACACCGTAAACACATCTGGAATGCTCCATCAACCGCTTCCGAGGATTACTGTGTTCGGGCATATCTTGCGAGGGCTGCAGGATTTCATACTATTGTTCTGGTTCCATTTGAGAATGGGGTTCTTGAATTAGGGTCTGTGAATCTTATTCCAGAAAGCTTTGAGGCGTTGATGATGATTAGGTCTGTATTCTTCAAGGGAGCGGAGTGGCCGAAGATCCTCGGGAAGGATCTGAACATTGGGCAAGCCGAGAGGCCATTTGAGCTCATTGCAAACAACAGAAAAGTTATCAATTCGAATACAAATCAAGGTATTGTGCCCCAACAGTTGAATTCTACCAATGGGCTGATGGTAGCGAGAGCTGAGATTGAGCGAAATGGGATTGGTATTATTCACCAAAAGCAGCAGCTTCCGCCTGCATCAAGGCGGATAGATTTCGCCTGCCTTGAGAATTCAGATGCGGAGGCTTCTTGCAAGGAGGATAAACCCAGCATAATAGATGAGCGCAGACCGAGGAAAAGGGGAAGGAAGCCGGCAAATGGCAGAGAGGAGCCACTCAACCATGTGGAAGCTGAGAGGCAGAGGAGGGAGAAGCTGAACCAGCGTTTCTATGCTCTCAGGGCTGTTGTCCCCAACATTTCCAAAATGGACAAGGCTTCTCTGCTGGGTGATGCGATTGCTTACATTACTGACCTCCAAAATAAGCTTAAAGAGATAGAATCAGAAAGGAAGGTGACACCAGGTGTTGAAGTGCAAACAGGGCAAGAAGAAGTGATTGTTCAGGTTACCTGCCCTTTGGACAGTCACCCTACTTACAACGTTATTCAAGCATTCAAGGAGCTGCATTTCACTGCTGTCGAGTCGAAGTTGTTGACTACGGATGAAACTGTCTTACACACCTTTGTTGTGAAGCTGCCGAGCGGCACGGAGCAGGCTGCAAAGGAGAAGCTCTTGACAGTAATTCCTTGCCAAATGAATCTTCCTGGACAGTAAAATTGAACTTTGATGTGGCCTAATTGAAGTGAAGAGGCAACATTGCATGGACATCCATGGTGTTATCATATTTTTTCGTTGGAAATATTATAGGAATGCGAGGCAGAATTAATCTGCAATGTAGCTAATTTTTTGTATAGAGTATTAGCTCAAGTTGCTTATTTTAATTTCGCAAGGCATTACATGTTTTACCTTTCTATATAGTCTCCAGCAATTTTATGGAATCTGGTGAAGTAGGTTCGAGTAGGCTGAAACATGCCATTAGATTTTCTTCAGGTTTGTATGGTTCTGCCTCGAGTATTATTTGATGCTAATTACATTTTATTGGAGCTTGTTATGTATTTCCTACTCTTATGGGTCCTCTTTTTTTTTTAATCTTTACTTTTTGATCTTCTTTGGCGGTACTAAGATCCTCTGACGATGTGGGCTGAAAATCACCAGCCGTAAAAAGTGTAATTATCTTTTGTCTTGCTCAACCAGCCCGACGAATTATTTACTTTAACAGGTGAATGAAGCAGCACCTCAAATGACAAGGCCACTGTTACTTGGGCATCTCCAACGAAAAATCTCATTTTCCACTCTAAAATGGCGGAAAACTTCAAAATGCCATAATTCATCTCCAATGGAACTCCATATCTCTTCTTTCGAGCGCTAAAAACATCTCTCTTGTTTCGTGCTTCCTGCGAAACTAAAAAAACAGTGGGATTTTTCGGCGTAGGTAAACAGTCCGACGTCAATATTGACGTCGCACTGTTCACCCGCATGTCATTGGCGTATTTTTTGGCGATCCATCGGAGCAAAAAACCACTCCATACATCCAAATGCAGTTCGGCTGGAGAAGCTCTTATGCGCTCCCATGGGGAAAACATTTTTGGTTCCACTTTCTCCTGTGTGATGACTCTAAACATGTGCTGTGGTATAATATGTACGCTTCTTTGTGGTGCCCAGCCATTTGTACAGTTTTGGAAACTAATTATGTCTCATAATCTGACAGATTTCTGTTGTGCTCCGACCATAGATCTATGTATATGGAAATGGGATGTTAATGGCCCCAAGAATTTGGAAGGCGAGATGTTAATGGCTTTAGCCCCTTTTCTCCCGAGAATTTGCTTGGAAGACGGGATTTTAATGGCTTGATCTACTTGTGCTCTTATGTCGGTGGAATTCAATCCTTCAAAAAAATTTACTGGGAAATGCATCTCTTATTGTTTCATATCAAGTGAAAATATGCTCCAAGACATCAACTTGAGTTGATATTATCGAGGCACATGGATGATCAATAAATGCAAAAGAGTGCATTTGGAATAAAAAAAAAAGTTGAAAATCATATAAATGTACAAAAGTTTCAGCCCACTAGTATCAAGCAAATATTCTTTCTACAAATACACAAAAAAAAAAAAAAATCTAAGTATGCATTGTAGAAAATAAAATAGGATACTTTTAGACCAATTTAACCATATTAAACAAATAATCTTTGACCAAGCCTTCCATTTGACTTATGTTGACTCATCACACATCAAATTGAGCATATTGACTCTAGGTTAAACCAATGGAATCAAATTGACTGATCATAGCTTGATTAAAATCCTTAACTAAATCAACTAAGCTAAATTGATCTTCTACCCTATTTAATGTACTTGATTAAACCATACTCTTTGGATGAGTTTAGCATACTCCAATTAAGCTAAATTGACTTGTATTTTTGTTGAATTGAGCCAAGTGAACCAGTTCACCCAATTTGTACCCATATTAGGTTGCTTTGGATTAGCTGCCAAGTGACCAAATTGCTTCAATTGGAAAATTATTATCCATCAAAATGATTCCAGAAGGTCAATTACATGTCACTTGACCTATTTAAACCCTATGATTCCATGTTAAACCTCAATTGAGCAATTTTTGTCTACATGAGCCCAAACCAATAGCCAAGCCCAATTGACCAATCCATCCAATCCAATAGACAACATTAGACTAAAGACTAACCTAATTATCAAGATTAGGGAATGATGAAGCTCTTACTTATGGTTTAAGGTATGATAAGAGAATGAATAGGCCATTATAAGATAATTAAGCAAGTCCAATCTAGCAACTATCCTTATGTTGCTAAGCTATGTCTTTTATTATATATAGGCTATCCTTATAGCCAAGCTCAACCCAATGAATGGCCTACTCAAGTAGCTAACCCATGGTCAAGAGGTCAAGAATGATGGTTTACACAAAGCTATTAGAATGAATTACTTATTCCTTCTTGTTATCTTATCCTAACTAAGTAAAGCTCTTTGAATCTTTGAGATTGTCCTATAGTAGTTTGGATATCTCTAGACTTCAAAAGCCCAAAAATAGAGCCTTAGTCTTACCCTTCATATGAATATAGCCATCCTTAAGGTGATTCTTGTTGATATCCATATATGCAACAAGAGCAATTTTCAAAAAATGTGATGTCATGTATATAGTAGGTTGAAAGCGCCTCAATAGTGGCCAACTGACGCAGCGCCATGCATATCAGGATCAAATAACGATAAGCATGATGATTGGCCAATGTGATGCTACACAAAAATTGCCTAAGCAACATATAATCATGTTTATTTATCATTGCATCCAAAATATCAAATTTACATAAGGGCAGACCCCTGCAGTCAATTTCAGTAAAGATGGTTAAAGGTGATGGTTTATAGGTGCAACAACATATGATGTCACCCAAACAACACCCATTCATGAAAAGGACTTGGTCATTCTGTCAAAATCATTGAAACTACCTAAAATGAACATCCATATCGACTAGGGAATTGCACAAGTGAGACGGTGACATTTGCCTATACATGAGGCGGTAACATGACAATTGAAGTGCATGAGAAATGAGAATTTAAGCAAAATGGTTAATTCAATCATCTCTTACTTTTCTTTCTATTATTTTAATCATGTTTATTATAAAAATAATATATACACATATTTAAAATAAAAAAAACAAAACAAATACCTGACATGTCACATCAAGTTTTTTTTATATTTGATCAACTCTCATCTGTCGTGTCTGCCTCATCCCATGTCCAACTAAAATGTAAAATAAAATAAACCTAAATTAGTACCATAACATTGGAGTTTCAAAAATTTTAATGCCGAAACATCGTTCATCAAAACACTATGTGTTGCAGCTTAGTTTTCAAAAATATGTTTTTATATTATGTTTGTTTTTTATGATACCAAAATATTATTGTGTTTGTTATTATTTCTCCTAACACATTGGAAAATATTATTTGTGTGTACTAACATTTCAGGGAACTCATACTCCAAACTACTAAAGAATTCAAGAAAAATTAGATTAAGGTTTATTGTAATTGAAGTCTATACTTTTTATATTTTTCTTAAGTCTGAAAAAGTGTAATTGTAATTGGGTAACCGTGCACACACACACTAGGGGGTATTAAACTTGTATTTTTTTAAACTAATCATACTATACAATTTTGGGATCGTACGGGATGATTTGACCTGAGTGCTTCTCCAAAAAGTAGTTAATAGAATCATGCCTGAAAAAAATTTTAAGAATTATTAGTACTGTATGAAGTTACCTTCGTACAGACGACGTCTATAATACAAAATAGCTATATATCAGTTCATCATAAACGAACTCATCATTTTCTGAACTGATTATACTATACAAAATGACTTTTGTACATATGACATCCAGAGTACGAAATGTACAAGTTCATCCATATGAACATATAAATTTTTTAAACTATTCGTACTATACGAAATTAGTTTCGTATAGACGACGTCCAGAGTACGAAATGGACTTATCCATTTTCATACCAAATGAAGCATGATTTTGTTAAATAGATCATACTATATGATATAATGTTTATATAGTACGCCAATCAGGGTAGAAAATGGGATCATGCATAATCATACTGGATGAATATATTCAAATTTGATCTGATCATACTATACAATATGAGTTCATACATATACTGACCAGCGTATGAAATTGGTTCACACAGGATCGTACGAGCAATTTTTGAACTGATCATACGTACAATATGTGATCGTATTATACGATCCAAGACGGTCAAATTGAATTTTTTAGTTTTTTAGATGATTTTTCTTGTCTTTCACATTTAAGAGTCCTGAAAGCTAACTGAAAAAGATCCTTCTACGAATTTTCTTTTGAGAGTAAGAGTGAGAGTATTTTGGGATAGTGTTTGAGAGTGTGGATAGAGAGATCTTGCAAGTAAATTTTGTGAAGGGTTCACAAGGTTGCCAAAAGGTGAGGATTTTTTGTAACTATGTCAAATCTATTCCCTACTTTTTTGAAGACTCTTGAGAGAAGATTCGACTCTTTGTCGATACCAGGAGGGTGTGAAAGGATGACGGTACTCTGTCGACACCAAGAGGGTGTGATAGGGCACCAGTTCTCTACCGACACCAGGAGGATGTGAAAGGATGATAGTACTCTGCTAAAACCAGAAGGGTGTGAAATGATGATGGTACTCTGTCGACCCTAGGATGGCGTAAAAAGATGTCGGTGCTCTGTCATCACTAGGAGGGTGAAAAAGGATAACGGTACTTTGTCGCACCAAGGATAGGTGGAAGAGAGCTTAATTGTAAGGGATTCTCCAACTTGTTGTGGGAGAAAAATAATAGTCACTATGTTATAGTGTAATACTTGAAGAGGGAGTCTTCAAAGAGTGTACGTATGTCTAGTTGGACCGAACCACTATAAAATTTTATATTTTTCTCTTTACTTTTTACTATTTTTTATTTTCTGCAAGATAGTTTTCTTGTTAAAATGTTTATTTTGATAAATTTTCATTGTGCTTAATAATAATAATATTGGTTTTTTAATCTACCAAGATATTTTTAAGTTACCAATTCACCCTCCCCCTCTTGGTAAGCCTTGGGACAATTACTTTAGGTCTAATAACCTATATGAACTTTCAAGTGTTATTAGAGCCTACTTTTGAAAATTAAGGCTTATATAACTTTTTAAAAATGATAATGACTACTTTTGGAAATCGTAACACACTAGAAGGATATTTGATCACAAGACCCCTATTGTTTGATAACATATCTTTCAATTTTTGGAAATATGTATGTCTACTTTTCTTCAATCGCTTGACTATCGCATGTGAATTTTAGTACAGGAAGTCTATATTAAACCAACTAGACTAGTAAATGGCATTATATCTAAGTTGAAAGCTAAATATTTAAATAATTTTTTCTATGTACTTTAGTCTAAAGATGACATGCGAGTCTCAACCTGTAGAATTGGAAAAGAAATTTGGGATAGGCTTTGTATTACATATGAAGTAACTAATGAGGTGAAGTAATCTAGATTGAACATTCTACT